AAGACATTTTAAAATTTGACCAAACTCAAAATCACGAAATTTGAGTTTTTGAAAGCTAGGCTAAACAATGAGCAGTTCCTCTCAAATAACTATGTCAAAGCGTGAACCTTCTGCTTAAAGACAGCGTCCAGGCAAGTCTGCACCTATGGGGATTTTACGTGCAAAGTACTTTTGGGGCCCTAACTAAGCCACTGCCCAACCGGCAGCTCATATAGTGCCCTAACGCCTGAGATAGTCCCCTCGAAACTGGACCCCGCGATCGTATTCGCATGGATTCATGGCAGTTTCGCGTCAGGACACACGCTTTGCGCCATGAATCCATGCGAAATACGATCGCGGAGTCCAGTTACGAGGGGGTTATCTCAGCCGTTAGAGCACTACCTGAGCTGCCACTTGGGCAGTGCCTTAGTTAGGACCCCAAAAGTACTTTCCACGTAAAAGCCCCATAGGTCCAGATCTGCCTGGACGCTGCCTTTAAAAAGCGCAAGACAGCTTGAGATGTAGCAAATTTAAAATCTACCTCTTATCAGATAAACTCTGGAGACATCAGAGTGATTTGATCGAGATACCAATAATGCAAACACTTCTACAGCGATTAAATTTTATTGACAGTCCCCAAGTAACTATTGTGAAACAATGTTAGGTCTAGTCTGGCTACGGCTAGTATGGTGAATATGAACAGAAATGAATAAACAGGTTGAGTCAAGCTAAAGAAGAGTTTTCTGAAACACTATTGTATGGAATGATAAGATACTACAAGTGAGATATCTTAGCACCGCATGGACTAATTGTGAGCCCATTTTATTCGCATTTCATTCGCGAAAAGCCGTTTTCCAAATGGACTTTCGTAGATATCAATCCATTTTCAATCCATTATTAGCTTACAAAATTTTGTTTGCTCCTGAAAATATACTTTTAACATTTAAATAGATTTACATGGCTTCAATAGGTTGAAAAATGGAGTCAGCGAGTTTGGAAGAAGATTAGCGATTTACCTAATAAATTCAAAATCAAAGACGAGAAAGAAATTTACTTGAGCCCAAATTAATCCAAATGAATAACCTTATGATTTCTGTCACCCACTGCTAACAAGGGAATGGTCAGAAATCGAAGTGGCCAATTCAAGCAAGCTGCATACCATTCGATGCAGCATAGAATGCTGATTTCAGATCTGCCTTCCTTATCTGCAGAGCGATTTTGTAGGCGAAGTTATAAGCCGTTGAATGTCATCATTTTGCTAAGAAATTGTGCGTGTAAAGGTCAAACTTGGCCATACAAAGTCATTCTCGGCCCAGTGTTGGACCAAAACGTGTAACTAGGTCAGTTCATATGGCTCGTACCTAAAGGTGAGCTAAAAGAGCAGTGATCTGCCTAATTTCGCAGTTTTTGTGGACGATTTTTTCGCAGTAAAGCTGCTCATAACTTCGCCCACAAAGGCGCTCTGCAGATACGGAAGACACATTTGAAATCAGCATTCTATGCTGCATCGATTGGTATGCAGCTTGTATGGATTGGCCACTTCGATTTCTGACCATTCCCTTGTAAGTGCTGTTTTTTTGGCTGTTTTCTTTTCTTTTGTTTGCAATCTAAACAAAGTAGCAAATGTTGCCAAGAATGTCGAGAAAAATGTCTCAACCTTGTTTTTATGAAGAAAGTACCATAAAAAAAGCAGTCAAAACGTTTAAATGATGGTAGTGGGTGAAAATTCTCATGAGTGTGGCGCATGCGGTAGAACTTCATAGCCTAACTGCTTCGGCTTTGTGCGTGTGGCCGCAAATTGCTTTCAAAAATGGTGGGCTTTTCTTTTTGCTGCAAGACACGGACGCTATAATTTCCAATGCTTTTGTCTATCTACTAACAATGATTTGTGTAATATTCCATTGACCAGAATAAAAACATTGTTGTGGGTAATTCGGACTGCAGTACAAGACACTATAATTTTTCATTTTGAGTGTGGAGGATTGTCACGATCCTACTCTCCTCGGCTACCGTGATTTCAAAGCCTATACACTTGAATGCAAAGAAATAAGCTGGTCCCAGTTGGATGTAGACCAAGATCAGTACAAAACATGTGCGCAAATAGTAGTATGGTCTAATTTAATGGATGAAATGCGACCTCAGTTTTTTTGTCAGCAATGGACAGTGCATGTTACGATAGTGTTAGGCAATGCTTGTCTAGTATCATTATACTAGAAAGCATTGCTTGCTTCTGTTACTTTCACTGTCTTCAACGTAGCGAAGAAGGAAAAATGTCCGAGTTCAAATTCTTGCGACTCCTGCTTTCTATAGTCGCCCTCACCCCACTAGTCGGTCGGTGGACAAATTCAAATTTGAATTGAAGCAGGCCTGTCACGGCAGAGCGCGGCAGGAGACAACGCTCAGCAATAACGAAAACTCAATATAGGTCAAACAAGTTGTAACAGTACAAAAACTGCTAAGCAATGGCGAAGAAATACGCAAAGTGAATGCGTGAACTTGAACGGAGAGCTAAGGTGCCGTGCTCTGCCGCGACCTGCCTGCTCCAGTTCGAATTCGAATTCGTCCACCGCCCGACTAGTGGGGTGAGGACGACTATATATAGGTCATTTATGTAATCGTGACGACAGATTTGACTGCGGTCTTTAATCCCACGGGAACACAAAACACTCATACAAAAAGACGTCAGCTCTATGCTTAGCTCAGTTACTTCCATTGTCCAAATACTATCATATATTAGCGGGAAATCATTCAAGTAGAACTAATAGCCAAGAAAATGCGGTTGCCTTTAAGTGCGTGCGTGTCGCGCGGGGCCGCGCATCGTCACGATTTTTCATGTTCTGTACCTAGCGTGGGCGAAAAATGCTCGCTATCCATTGTCAAAAGCATCACTTATTCGAGTTTTTGCTATCTCGCTATCTATCAACTTCTTCTGTTTCGTTTCATTCTTGATCAATCTCTTCAAGTGATTATGCGCATTGTTTCAGCTCTCTGATCCTATTTCCTGCAAACCTTCATCGCATCACAAATGGTACGACTACTACTGTTCCACTGCTTTGAAATCGTTTGTGTGCAAGAAAATGGCCTTACATTGAATGCGAAATAAAAATGCACATGATTACAGTGATCGACTTTCTTTACAACACTTCGCAAGCTGTTATTGATTCCAAGCCGAGATTTTTTCAACGTCACGGAACAAACTAAAGTAGCTGCCGTGCGAGTGGAAGAAAACATATAGGGCTTTTACAGTAACATTCTGCTAACTACATCAGTTTGTTGTTTGCCAGGTAAAAGAAAACCTTTTAACGTAAAGGTCGGTGTGCTCATAAATTCAATAATGAACCATTGCTTTGCTTTTCCTGCAGAATAAACTCGGGTATGTGCTAGGGACCGGTACAGCTGGGCCGGATTCAAGCTGGTTCCGTTTGCGAAAGATAAAGGAAAGGGGATAGAAAAATCGTCTTTGTAGGGTTTTTGGAGGAGCACCAGAAATTACATAAAGAATTCGTGAGAATTCCAGCATTAGATGATGTTCATCCAGACATCTTCATTGTTGAATACAAAAAAAATGGAGCTGGCACATATGGTTTGTGCCTTAGAAAGGTTCTCATGGGTATCACCAGCATGGCTGCGTTTCGATCGTTTTAACACTTAATTCTAGCAAATTTAAGGCGCCTAATTAATGCTGACATGAAAGCGATCAAAAGGCAGGCGTTGAAGGTACTTATGGAAACCTCTCTTGGGTATAGACTATACTTGGGTCCGAATCGAATAGAAATTCGATCATTCGAATAAAACATCCGAATATATTCGATTCGAAATTCGATATTCAGAGTTTATCCATTTTCGAATAATATTCGAAAATCGAGTAATTGAGAAAACGGGGTTTCGAATAAAATTCGAAACTCGAATAATCAAAAAACAGAATTTCGAATAAAATTCGAAAACTCGAGTAATCAAAAAACGAGGATTCGAATAATATTCGAAAACTCGAATAATCGAAAAACGGGTTTTCGAATAGATTTTATTCGAATGTTTTATTCGAATATTTATTCGAATTCGTATTCGAATGAACTCCGTATCCAAATTATTCGAGTTTGTTGCAGAGCCAACTGTGAGTACCAAGCTCGCTTTGTTTGCGTATTTTTTTTACAAGACCAGGTAATGCATCTTTTTTGCAACCGTAACGACCTTTGAACTGTATAGAAAGCGCATTCCTCCGACTGCTTGCGACATAAAAAAAATAAATGTGGATTTTAATTGATGCTTTTTCGATCAATGAGTTACAGATGTCTTTAGATGTAACGCCAGCTCAGCACAGATGTATAGCGTGTGCAAGCCTCATTTTTAAATTTCAGCTCCAGCCAATTTCATTTGCTGCTACTCTGCTAAACTGCCCTTGAAATGTAGTGGACGCCTGACAAGTGAGGTCTGCTGTTGAACAAAGCGGCAGGATCAAGGTGCACAAATCGGTTACCCTACGGTGCATAACGCGCAAGGATCACGAAGATGCACTGGATGTTACTACTTAATAGCTATAGATCAGTGGAAATCGCTGATGATTATTTTTTGTACTAATTTTTAATCTATCTCAAAAACGACTTGTACTAATTTCCCATGAAATCAATTTGTTCATTTGAATGAATCCAGACAGCTGGCTACTAACCTTAATTTTGCTATGAATCTGACATGCCTCTGAACAGGCCTTCTAATTGTAAGAAACTAATCTCATTCAGTCTCGAATCTTTCTGAACGTCGAAGTAGATCAAAGTGAACTTCATTGATTTAATTAGAAAAAAGCATTGCAAAGCAAAGAGTCTGGATAAACATAAGAAAGAGATATGCTTCGTTATCAGGATAGCTGCCTAGCGTTGGCTTGTAGAGGCAATATCATTTCATCTGTATGACCGTAGCCAAGCCACGCCTCTAGATGCGGAAAAGTGTGTATAGTTACAGTGGATACAACAAAAAGGCAGCAGAGTGAAAAGGCTATATAGGGATACTCGGGATCGGTGAAACTGCAAATGCAAGAAGAAGATCTGCAGGTAATTTCAAGTACAGTAATCGTTATCAGGCCTCCAATTCATTGCGTTTAGATGGAGCTGCAGCAGTATTCGATTCATTTGAATCGAGGTAACGCACGCCCACATGCCGAATCCAATCCAGTAATCTGGTGGCACAATCACCAACAGCAGTTTCCAATACTGGCGTCATCTGCCTTGGAATCAGTCGATAGCGAGAGACTCTTTAGGTCTGTGTTCCCATTATATATGAGTATATGGGCGATATTGCTATTTAAGCACCGCCGGAATCATTTTTGGAAACAAAAGAAGACAACGTTTGCTGGGAAAAACCGCCAGGCTTTTCCTCATGATCAACGCTAACACTAACAAAGACACAAGCAGGTGACTTAATTTCCTCAGAGAAACAAAAATCAGAGACATATTCAGGGCTTGCAAAGCTTGGAGTCAGAGAGAAGTTGAACGTTATGGTTGCCATGAGAGTTCTAACCCACCATCCACTAGTTCCGAGCAGTCTTCATCTGAAGATTCCGAGGAGGAATTCTCCGAAGAAAGCGTAGAACTCTAGATCCAGTGCCTTCTCTATACATTGGTGATTCTGATGGTGTATGTTTTGCCCATGTCCATATCATACACATTCCAGCAATGCTTTGAAGATGTTATCCGTACATATATAGAAAGTATATCAAGCATTTTGCCTTAACATTGTTGATTTTGACGTGGAAAAGGTCATGTTTTGTTTATGCCCAGCATATATTCCTACAATACTCGGAAGAAAAGTGTCCCAATTGTGTAGCAATAGATCAGCAACTTTGCTTTTACATTGTTGATTCTGATAAGAAATAAAGTTATTCCTTATGTACATCAATCTCTTTCAGACCATCTGAAGAAGAGTTTTCTAGGCACAACATAAAATTTATATCGTCTGCTTCTCTTATCGCTCAATAATGGGAAGTAAAATATGACGTTTTGCTGATGCATAGACTAGTTGCCAACCGACTAATTTTATCGATTTGAAGGAAGCTACTGGGCTGGAACATGGTACAGGGGGGTAAGTGAGGGTGCTGATTATAAACAAAATTTGTTCATCGATTTTATCGATTGGGGAACTTTGAGCTACGGGGCTGGGAGTTGGTACAGGGGGTAAGTGAGGGTGCTAATTATGAATAAAATTTTTGTTTATCGATTTTATCGTATTTTGGGGAACTCTGAGCTACGGAGCTGGGAATTGGTACGGGGGAGGGAAGTAAGTGAGGGTGCTAATTATGAATAAAATTTTTGTTTATCGATTTTATCGTATTTTGGGGAACTCTGAGCTACGGAGCTGGGAATTGGTACGGGGGGGGGGGGGGGTAAGTGAGGGTGCTAATTATGAATAAAATTTTTGTTTATCGATTTTATCGTATTTTGGGGAACTTTGAGCTACGGGGCTGGGAGTTGGTACAGGGGAGTAAGTGAGGGTGCTGATTATGAACAAGACTTTTGTTTATCGATTTTATCGATTTTTGGGGAACTTTGAGCTACGGGGCTGGGAGTTGGTACAGGGGGGTAAGTGAGGGTGCTGACTATGAATAAAATTTTTGTTTATCGATTTTATCGATTTTTGGGGAACTTTGAGCTACGGGGCTGGGAGTTGGTACAGGGGGGTAAGTGAGAGTGCTGATATAAACAAAATTTTTGTTCATCGATTTCATCGATTTCTGGAAAAGCTTGAGCTAGGAGTTGGTGTAGGGGATATGAGGGTTATGAATGAATCGGTTTTAGCCAGAAATGTCAGCAAGTTTTAGATATGTTGCAAAAGTTATTCGAAAAATCATTCGAATATCTATTCGAAATTCGACTCCCAGTGTTCAAATATTAGGTTGTCCCGAAAGTTTTGTCGGTTTTTGTCATCGCTCACCAAACCTCACAGAACACCAATCCATGGACGGCCTAGGTGTCATTCTATTCATTTTTGTATCCTCTTTCTTATAGCTATGCTTGTTCTCTGATCTACCCCGTGTTTACGATGTTATCGCCATGGCTTTTTGAGCACCTCAGCAGTAGCGCCAAAATTTCCTGAATTTTGAAAATTTTCATCCTGACACTTCTAAGGAGCGCTGGTAACTGTTATGTGCAGCAAAGCTTTGGCTACATTGTACCCATTTTAGAATATGTGAGTTACGTTTGCCAAGTTCGTTATAACTATTTATTTAATAAAAACCGCGGCCTTTTGATTACGTTTACCCACTCAAAAATATCAAAAATTCAAAAAGCAGCTTTTTCAAAGCAAATCAAACTTGGTTGTGTTGCATAAATGATGTTTAATAACAAACAAGTTTAAATTTGCAAAAACTCAAAAGCTTTCATGCTTTTGCTGCAATTGTGCGTTTCATGACTTTGCTAAAAACCAGGGCCTCCGGAGAAATAATTTTTTGAAGTTAAAATCAGCAGATTAGGAGAATCTAAAAATATTAACTTGTAGCCCGAGAGTTGCTCTATTTGACCTATTCTTAGTCTTTTTCGAAACTTTGCAATGAAATTTTTGAAAATTATCTCAACTTTGAGCAAGTAAAATTGAGAGGTAGAGAATTTTGGCAATTATCAAAAAAAGAATACAAGAATATGGTATGAATGTGTATCCATAAGAAAGCGGAGGAAAAGCTGCATCGAATGCACGTTGAAACTCATTCAGGTTTTTACTGTGCGTGGTTTTATAGTGGTTTGAAAGAACCGACAAAACTTTCGGGACAACCTAATATATTCGATATTCATTCATTCAATATTTTTGATTTTCCGAATTTATTCGAAATTCATTCATTCGAGTTTTTTTCATTTTCGAATTTATTCGATATTCGTTTATTCGGGTTTTTTCATTTTCGAATTTATTCGATATTCGTTTATTCGAAATTTTTCATTTTCGAATTTATTCGATATTCATTCATTCGATGAAAAATTTTCGAATTACCCAAGTATAGTATAGACGATACTTGATTGAGACAATGTCGTACGCACAGCGGCAATTTGAAATCCTGCCGTAAACAAATGCTTTGCGCATGTTGGCCAAACGTCAAATCTGTCAAACTGAGTATTATAAATGCTGTTTGAGTTGCAATAGTGCGGTGCATTTTAGCAACTCCTCTTCCAAAGCTTCTTAAAAAACTGAAGTATCCAGGTGACCCTCTCTACAACGCCTACCAACAATCTTAACAACTCATTGCTTCACATAGTAAAAATCGAGTGACCAACAGATGCAACAAATCGTAAACGTCGCTTTTTTTTCAGGCTTCAATCATTTTCGAATTTTCAAAAAGAATTTTATCGAAAAAACCTCAGACTTTCGGTATTAACACATTGGCGACCGCTTGACACACCATGTGTGTCAAGCAATGCCTACCACGTGGGACTGCTGACACACATGGTGTCTCAAAGCTTGAACTTTGTTAAAATGACGAGTGTTTTGGCACAAACTTATTCTAGAAAGTTTTTTTTGGCTGTGAATCTAGAAGTGACTTCTACCTTCTTTGTCAGCCTTCCGGAGCTACTGTAGGTATACTGTAGATGGCAGTATGCGTGATTTTATCTAGAAAATGCTGGCTGGTTCGAGAAAGGTCTTGGTCCCAAGAGACAAACAATCAAAAATTTGCGTCGTCGTCAATGTGTTAATTCAGCCCACCTTTGCATACGATATCTTAAGAAAACATTTTCGGAAGCGAAAGCTAAAGCAAATATGTATAACATAAATGAAGTTTAGCAATAGAGTAGCGTTAAAAGCATAGAGAGTAGAACGTTCGGAATGACTATAATTCACTGACGCGCAATGTCAGTAGTTTTGAAGAAAATTGCAAAATCTCTGATGGCTATCACAGAAAAACCAAGACTACAATAAAATTATAAACGATGAAAAGTTACATCAAATACTACCAAAATTTTTTCAAAAATTCGTCTCCTGCGGGAAGTCGCGCTGTTTTGAGCAAAGCTAAGTTATTTTCACAACTACTAGGTTTTTACACAAGTCTTGCTTTACTTTAAATTCTTACGACTATAAGTCGTACACTTCATGAATCAAAGAGGGCTCCAGGGTACCATTCAATAGAGCAAAGCAAGCTGCAAGATGATTTGCAAAAGTTCGCACCAGTTTTGACCCACCGTAGGTATGCATCCGGGATGAATCGCACCGAAGGCTCAGAAAATAAAGAAAAAATCATATCTTCCATACAAATTGCACACCGCATCAGACACTCGTATGTACCGTTACTGTATTTTTTCATCATCTAGAAATCAAGAAAACGAAAATTTTCTTGCTTTGACAAAATAAAGCTATGCCGTTTCTATCATGTAGTTGTATACTGCAAGTCCTTAGAAGTGAAGCCATAAATGTTCAGCTTTCCACAAGCCCTAGTTTTCGAAGAATACCATATGCGGCTTTCTTTACTCGGATATTCAAAGGTAAACTCCATTTTTCAGAAACTAGGGCTTGTAAATAGTTGAAAGTTTAGGTACTTCCGAGGACTTGTGGTAAACAGCTACACAAGTGAGAAAAGCATAGCTTCGTTTTTGTAAAAACAGGAAAATTTTGGTTTTCTCGATTTCTAGATGAGGAAGAAATACAGCAACGGTACATATGAATGTCTGATGCTGTGTGCAATTTGTGTGAACATGTTGGAAACATGTATTCTCTTAAACGAAAATATGAATTAGTCCCAATTTTTCAAGCCTTCAGTATGACTCAGATTCTGGATGCAAACTTATGGTGGATCGGAGCTGGTGCGAACTTTTGCGTATTATCTTGTAGAGCTTGCTTTGCTCTATCTAGTCTTATCTCTGTCGGAGATACATGCATTAGGTTTTTCTTGAGCCAGATGTAAAAAGAACATTAAAATGAACTCAAAACAGGAAGAAAAATGTGAAAAAACACAGGCCGTAGACCTCTTTGCTCAGAGAGGCTTTAGCTTCTACCTGAATCAAATGCACAAAAATTGAAGACATTAATATAAATACGAATCACTCTCAACAAATTTGAGAATTTCTGACTTCTCCAAGGCTTTCTGAAAGCCTGACTACTTTTAGCCGACTGCATCTTATCAGGCATCGTCTAAACCAGCAAACACATCGATAGAATAAAAAATTGAAAAGCCCAGAATAGCACTATATATCTAGTGTAGGGTAATACAGATTAAAGCCTCCTGCTCTGCAACAGGTTGAAGACCCAAAAGCTGCTGGCAGGATGGTCAGTCTCTCCAAGCAGAATCGCAAAACAAAAGATCAAGTCAGCAAAATATGGCAAAAACGAGCTGGCATCCCGGGTTCCGCCCCGGTACGGAGCCAGTCGATCGTACTTGATCTCTCATGTAGCAAAATTTACCATTTTTTCGATTCCTGCTCATCATGGGTTTGCTTCTATCGTCCTTACCATGCCTTGATGACCAGCAGATCAAAATGAGCTTCGCCGCTCATCCGTCATGATATGGAAAATGTGAAACACACAAACACACATATTTTCCGCTTTATATATATAGAGATTAAATAAATTGCAATTATAGCCTCATCATTAAACATTAGAAAAAATCAAACATAATTTTGAGAGTA